CGACAGAGCTGAATCGACAATGGGAAGCAGAAGAAGTTTATTGACAACAAAAATTGAGGGTTCGCTGGTTAAAAAAAGGTGACAAGAACACCTCCTACTTTCATACGGTAACTAGGGCTCGTCGAAAACATAACTTTGTTGCCGGTCTCCGGAATGTGAATGGGGAATGGATAACTGAGGAGGGAGGCAAGGCATATATTGCCCCTGATTTCTATCAATCTCTCTTTTCTTCGGAAAACCAGGTGCTTAATATGGTTTACCGAGTGGCTGAGCTACCAATAGATCGTCGAGTTACTGATGCCATCAATGCCAGCCTCACATCAATAGTCCTCTCTGTGGAAGTTAGGAAAACGGTATTCTCCATGGGTTCGAAACAGACGTCTGGATCTGATGGATTCATAGGAAAGTTCTTTAAATCCTACTGGGATATTGTCGGGGATTCTGTCATTGCAGCAGTGTGTTCTTTTTTCTCAATGGGCAGAATGCTCCAGAGCTTTAATCATACCTGGCTGAATCTAATCCCGAAAGTTGACAATGTTGAAAACATGAGGCAACTCTGACCTATTAGTCTGTACCAGTTTATCTATAAGATCATAACCAAAATTATGTCCGAGAGGCTGGCAGGCCTGCTGCCTCAGATCGTATCGGAAGGCCAAAATGCTTTCATTTGGGATAGGCCAAAATGGTGGTTATGAATCAAGCTGGGGAGGAACTTTTGGCTAGAGGTTTTCAATTCGCTGGGATTGATGATCCTTTGGTTGCGGAGGTGCTTTCTCTTCGGGAGGCTATTCTTTGGTGCCTAGCGTCGGGGTTTACAGGGGTGCGGTTTGAAGGGGACGCAAAGGTGGTTATTGAGAAGCTCCGCCAGTCTGATATAAGGGACAACATGATTGGAGCCCTTCTCGATGAAGTTCTGCAATGCTTATCACTTTCAAATGGGTTCAATGTGCAGTTTGTAGGTCGGCATAGTAATAGTGTAGCCCATTTGCTGGCTAGGAAGGCCCTTCTTTTGTAACCGACTGCGAGTTGTTTCTTTGACTTTATAACTTGGTTAAATTTAAGGATGTAACTATCTTTTTTTCTTATCAATATATGATTATCTTTTGTAAAAAAATAATATGGGAAATCCTCCCATTGCAACGCGGGTAATGGATGCCAAATTTTTTTCAACAAAACAAGGAAGAGGTAAGCAAAAGCTTGAACCTGAAGTACCGAGTTTAGTGTCCTATCATATTGATTTCAAACCCACTTGAGCATCCTTCTATACATCCACCAAGTCACATTCCTCTTACTTCTAAAGAATTGGTCACCCTACTACTCAAATTATGAAAGGACCGACCAATCACAACAATATTGCCTCCATATTACCAAAAAAATAAAAAATAAAAAATACTGCGTCTACCACCATTCTAGGTCACTATATATGCTCTAACGTATATTAGGATGGTGGTCAACAATCTCTTAGTGGATCATCTATATTAAATACATTCAGTCATTGTTCAAGGTAATTTGTGTTGGGACTTCTAGGGACGAGGGTACACGTACGATAGCCCGAGACCGGGTGACTAGGATTATGATAGAGTCGTGAACTACGTTCACTTTCCGAAAAGAATATTTCCACCCTCAACAAGCCTAGGGTTACAGGAAATTTCTCCTGAGGATAAAACTATCACCACTTTAGGTTCCAGGCTCAAGAACACTAAAGCATACTTAGAAATTTTTGGAAGAAAGAAGAAGAATATGTTTGATGGTATCTGGCATCATCCACCCCACACATATTTATAGGGGCCGAATCCATGCATTGTTTCATGAAAGGTTGCCTTTATCCATATGAAAGGTTGCCTTTATCCATATGAAAGGTTGCCTCTATCCATATGAAAGGTTATCCTTATCCATATGAAGGGTTGCCTCTATCCATAAGGTTATCATTATCCATAAAATAATGCAACCGCCACTAGGCCAAAGGGATGTGTCCCTTCACGGAATTAGAATATCGGTTCGGTCGGTCTAATACCAAACCGGTTGGTCGGTCCAACCCAAAAACGGTTTGACTTGGTTAGTCCGGTTCAACCAAATTTCCAACATTCCTCCCCCATTTTAGTGTATTCCTAGAATTCACTAAAATCACAACATTCTTCCAATAAAACTTAAGCATAAATGAAAATGTCGTGACGATTGAATTTTCACCTTAGTATATTACACTTGACGAATACTCGAATACAAAGGGTGTCGGTAACGATTGAACCCATTGACTCATATGAATATTCGAAGATAATATACACTTAAGTTTTCGAAACTTCTAAGCGCCTTGACACTATTATCCGCCATGTGTCCAATCCTTCTCATAAGCGCACACGAAACCAAAGTCCGGGTTTCTTGAAGCGGCTACACTTCATGCTTACGTAGGTTGAATCTCTTATTCGTGTACCCGCATAATACACTTTTTCAAAGATTCAATTAAGAAGTTTTGAACTTCATCCTCTTCTCTCATGCAGGATAACAAGCACATACCTCGGGATGAAAAATTGTGTGCTTCAATTTATGATAATAAGCTTTCCACATTGAATTCAGCCTCTAACGTTGTATTAGAGGGGAATTGGGTGTCCCATTACCAGAAATTATATGGACTTTAATCCATCCCTTTCACAGACTTAATCACCAAGTCACTAGTTAACCACTTCGTCAAATGATCAACCAAATTAATTCGAGTTTGGCCATATTGTCTATACACAACACTATGAATGATCAGTTCAAAGCTTTTACCGTGTCATACTCCCACATGACCGTACTTATCATTTTCACTTGACTATATGCCTTAGCCAAATTAGCATTACTATCACAAAAGATAGTAATAGGTGAGATTGGTTTCGGCCATAAATATATGCCATAAACCAAACCTCTCAACAATTATGTCTCTTCTCTAAGAGAAATCAAGGGCACACAAACTTTGATTCCATAGTGAAACTTAGTGATGCAAGTTTGCTTTCTAGAGGCCCAAATTATGGCACCTCTCCCAAGCAAGAGGACCCATCTCAATGTTGAAGTATCACCTTTAACATGAGAAATCCAACTAACATCAACAAATCATTTCCAAAATTGATGGAAAGCCACTATAAGTCAATACAGTGTGCATTTGACATATCCTAGTACACGCCTCATTTTATTTCAAATGATAAGAACTAGGATTCATCACGTACCAACTTAATTGTTCTATCGCATATGAGATATCTAGCATCATGTAAGTCATGCATACATCTCCAGTTGTAAAACTGATTTCCAGTATTAACCATAAGTTCCATACTTGGATCCATTGGGGTCTTTAACTCACTACAATTCATACTATGGAATTTATGCAAGTACCTTCTCATGCAGAAAAATTGAGAGAAGGACTCTTCTTTGTCGTTCCGCTTGATTCAATACACAGAATCACATTTGCCTCCCCCATGCCCTACACGGAGAATTGAAATAACAACTTTTTATCAAAGTTCACTTATCTTTTATTGGTTCCAAAGATAACCATGTCTTATACATACAAATGTACGATGACTTCATTACCAGAATCATCATAAATTGTGTACACATTTTGTCTCCTTGGTTTAAAATAACATAAACCACTAGACAAAATCACTTATCTTTAATTGGTCCCAAAGATAAATATGTCATCTAAATACAAACACAACGACTCTATTACCAGAATCATCAAACATTGTATATACAATTTTGTCTCCTTGGTTTAACTTAAACCACTTAGACAAAACCACACCATCAAACCACTAGACAAATCCATATTTGTCTAGCACTTCGTAAACATCGAATAGAGAATTAGACAAATTAACCATTGAGTATGTGACCTACCCAAAGGCAATTTTCATTCTTCTATTTCTCCATTTTACGAATCATTTTCCTTCTTCCTCATCTTCGAATCATCCCTCTTCCAAGTTACCTTCCGGATATGGAATACACCATGAGACAAGTACGAAGAAAACCCATCTTCTACTGCCATCGATGAAAAACCCATCATCGAACATTCTCATAATTCCATAGACCGGAACCGGTTTCTTGTAAAGAGCGGTTCGAGCCATCGTACCGGAAAATATTCTTTTCGATTGTTGGGACTTCTAGGGACGAGGGTACACGTACGATAGCCCGAGACCGGGTGACTAGGATTATGATAGAGTCGTGAACTACGTTCACTTTCCGAAAAGAATATTTCCACCCTCAACAAGCCTAGGGTTACAGGAAATTTCTCCCGAGGATAAAACTATCACCACTTTAGGTTCCAGGCTCAAGAACACTAAAGCATACTTAGAAATTTTTGGAAGAAAGAAGAAGAATATGTTTGATGGTATCTGGCATCATCCACCCCACACATATTTATAGGGGCCGAATCCATGCATTGTTTCATGAAAGGTTGCCTTTATCCATATGAAAGGTTGCCTCTATCCATATGAAAGGTTATCCTTATCCATATGAAGGGTTGCCTCTATCCATAAGGTTATCATTATCCATAAAATAATGCAACCGCCACTAGGCCAAAGGGATGTGTCCCTTCACGGAATTAGAATATCGGTTCGGTCGGTCTAATACCAAACCGGTTGGTCGGTCCAACCCAAAAACGGTTTGACTTGGTTAGTCCGGTTCAACCAAATTTCCAACAATTTGTACACTCATTCACGTTGGTGTGACTTACGTAACTTCAATGAAAATTATGTGTTGCCATCCTATCACTTAAGTCTTAACGGTTAACAATTCTGGACGATCAAAATCCTAATTTCAGCAAACTCCAAAATTTCGTGCCAGAAATATCATATTTGAAAAGTTCGTGATGCAAAGACAAAATTTTGACGAAGTTGAGTCCTTGTGATATTAACCATTTTGTTAAACAAAATGAAAATGAAAATGAAAAAAAGGACCGTTCTGGCGCCAAAATCAAGACTCAAAATCCGTACGTTATATTTTGAAAAGGGATATTCTGTCATAAATTAAGAAAAAAATAGAATCATCGGGATCTTCCCTCCTAGTCCTTCCCCAACCCAAAAACTGCGAACAAAAATTCGCTGCCCAGTAATCAGCCAGCCGCCGAACTCAACTCCAGGAGCGCCTCTGTAACGCTCCCTCTACCTTTTCCGCCCCTGAAATTCTAGGGTTTCGTATTCCATTTCCTTTCTGTCACTCCCAATTTTCCTCACTTCCAACTCTCCTCCCGACAATGGCGACGTCGCCCACTCTCGTCTCTCCCTCCCGGACCACTTGCGCCTCTCTCCTCCGCCAATTGCAGGTTCTCTCTCTCACTCTCTCTGTGTATGGCGGTTATCCTAGTCAAATACAAGCGTTTCCGTTTGTGCTTGCCTTGCTTGGTCCTCCTTCGTCTTATAATGTCTCTCTCTCTCTCTCTCTCTCTCCCTTCTGATTTCGCTGCTGAAGTTATGCTGTCTGGGGAGCGCTTACCGTTCTTCTTCGGAAAGATAGATTACAGTCTGTTTTAGCACTCTAATTATCGCCGAAGTCAGTTATTTTGCCGTCTCTCTGGTTTCGTTCATAGTTTAGGCCTTTTTTTTGGGGGGTCAATTCGCTAGATCTTGAGTCGGGGATTTCAGATTTGAGCTTGATTCTCAGTTCTCTTTTGGTCCGACTCCGATTAAATGTGTGGTCTTGAAGGTAATATGGGATGAAATTGGGGAGGAGGATGGGGATATGGACAGGATGCTTCAGCAACTTGAACAAGAGTGCCTTGATATCTACCGTAGAAAAGTCGACTCCAGCAGAAAGCACAAAGCTGAGTTGGTTCAGTCATTGGCCGACGGAGAAACTGAAATTGCAAACCTTGTTTCTGCTCTTGGGGAAACTGCCTCATTTCCTCAGGTTTTTGTTTTGCTTTGCCCTCTACCTCCAATAACTATGTACTTCCAGTTGCAGCGAGCTGTTAGGTTCTCAATTTTTTCTTTGTCTACAGAAGAGGGTAAATGGCTCTTTGAAGCAGCAATTATCGGCCCTTAAACCTGCTTTGCAAGACTTGAGACAGAGGAAACAAGCACGAATGAGCGAGTTTCATGACACTCAATTGAAGATTGCTCACATCTGTGCTGAAATAGCAGGAAATGATCTCAACAGTGTCGATCCAACAATTGATGAATGTGATTTGACTGTGAAGCGGTTGGGCGATCTCCAGTCACACCTCAAGGAACTTCAAACTGAAAAGGTTCAAAAGTTGACTATTTTCTTGAATTGTCATATTTCTTTGGTACTCTCCCTTTATGTTCATTATCTTTTTTGTGTCTGATTTTCAGAATCTACGTCTGCATAAGGTTAGCAGCTCTATCGGCAAAATTCATGAGCTGTCAGTTGTAATGTCAATTGATTTCTCCAGTACTGTTGCTGATATTCATCCCAGCTTAAGTGACCATACTCAGTCAATGAGCATAAGCAATGATACACTAGCTCGATTAACTAGTGTGATACAATCATTAAGGCAAGAGAAGCTGGACAGGCTATGTAAGGTGATTTTCTGATGAACATGTTCATTTACTTCAGTTCCTTTTGGTTCTTGTGGTCCCTTTTGCATATGAAGTAGCTCAGAGATAATTCTATTATTTCCATGAAGGTGACGCTAATGAAAGGGCTAGGAATTCAGTGGTCCGACTACCACTCATGAATAGACCTAGGGGCTTGTTGTTGTCATTTTTGTTATTGACTTTGGAGTCAAATTATCTCTTGGAAACATATTTATCTCATGGGGATGTAACCAAGCAAAAGTAACTACCTCAGGCTTCCATTTCCCTTTTTTAAAGTAACCAGTTGTTTGTGCTATTCCCAATAGCAAAGTTCTTGTGCTACGTAGAAATTTGGTATTGCTCGTATATTTTACTACTCCGTTAATATGATAAATGATGTAGGTTTTATGTCAGGCTAGTGCTCAACAATGGTACAATTATGGCTTGGTTGTTTGTTTTTGAGGTCTTGCTTCTGATCGTTTCCTTCATTATGTTTTTGGCATGACTCTTCCATTACTGAAGCTCCAAGATCTTGGGAAGACCCTAATGGGGCTATGGGATCTCATGGACACAAATGTAGAGGAACAAGGAAAATTTGATCATGTTACTTCATTGGTTTCTTCCTCACTGGACGAGGTGTCAATTAAGGGTTGCCTTGCACTTGAGGTCATTGAGCAGGTGCAAAAACTGTCTCTTCTTGCCTGTCATTTGAGGAGTTGCTTTTCTTTTTTGCTGAAAACTGACAACATTGCTGCTGCAATTAGACTGAGGTTGAAGTTGAGAGATTAAATGCTCTCAAAGCCAGCAAGATGAAAGAGTTGGTACTAAAGAGACAAAATGAGCTGGAAGCAATATACAGAGATGTTCATATGGATATTGATACTGATGCAGCACGGCAAACTCTTATCAATCTAATTGAATCTGGTAATCCGTAATCAGAATGTTTGGTTTAGTTTGGTACTTCCTGCACCCTTTTCAAATTTGATTCAGAAAATGACTTAAATGATAATTACCTTTTTGTGGGTAACTCTTTAGTTGTGATGTTTTTTATCACCACTTAGCAATTTACAGTTACTTCTTCATGTTCTGTTTTCATAATTTTTTGCTTTCTCAGGAAATGTTGAGCTCTCCGATCTACTTTCCAGTATGGACAATCAGATAGCAAACGCCAAAGAGCTAGCACTGAGCCGGAAGGAGGTGTTGGACAAGGTAGAGAAATGGAAGCATGCATATGAGGAAGAAAAGTGGCTTGAAGACTATGAAAAGGTAATAATCCTTTAATGCAGGAAAATAGTGAATCTGAAATTTCTCCAGTACCATCAACATGATTGATTGTTATTGATGCTGGCATTTATGTTTGTGTACAATGTTAGGTCCTTTATGACAGGTATTTTCATCTAAAGTTTGAAACACTGGGCAGCTGTTCTGTGATTGGGCATTGATCACTTGTACTAATTTTTTCCTGGACTGCCTAGGTTCAGTTTGTGAATATGGCAACGCTCCTTTCTCTTGTATGTTCATCATACTTGGAACAAAGAAATGATCAAAATTTGAAGTCAAGCTGACCTGCGTAGTTTTGATATTCGTTTATACTAGTAAGAAAATTACAACTCTGTTTTATATCAATTCTCCTAATATCTAAGCTAGCGTTCCTGAAGTTCTATGAGGAGATAATGTCTTTGGCTGGAGGGTTGTAATGGTGATTTGCCAATCAATTATGGGTGGTCGGAAGAAGTATTTTAAAATGTTGCCATTTGTTGTAAAGAGGAGGATGCTACTAGCTAGAAGAACACAAAGGTCCATTGTTGTGGAAGCGGTCAGCAAGTGTTGTTGCTTGGGGATGAGAACATGATACTTTATGTGCTGCAAGATAAAGCTGTGGTTTCAATTCATCGTACTTCACTCATAGCCACTATTCATCATAGGTTACAACCAGGGTTCCTCGTATGTTTCTTTTTAACTAGCCCATATGTTATCGGTTAGCTGATTCTATATTAGTGAACTCAACACCATGCCAGTACTTGAATGCCTTTGATCTTTACTTCTTTAGCGTTAAATTATGATCTTCCTTCTTTTTTCCCCGCTGATGTATGTTTCTATTTGCTCCAGTCCTCCAGTGTAAACTTGTTCCTGTAACCTTCTACATCACTACGTGAAGGATGTAGGATCGTGGGCAACTGTCGTGTCTGATGCTGTGCTGTGTACTTAATTTTACCAAGTCTGAGAATTTTTGTTTTCTCCAGTCATCGAACATTACAAACTTTGGATAGAAGCAGATGCTTGTTTTTTATTTGGTTCATGTATTGGTTTGCAGACCATTGCACACTGAAGTTCCAATCTCTAGTCTTTCCATTTATCTAACTTTATACTGAAGTTTTCTGAATATTGCTATTGTGGATGAACAAGCATCACATTTTCTTCATTTTGTCAGGATGAAAATCGGTACAGTGCAGGAAGAGGTGCGCATAAAAATTTGAAACGCGCAGAGAAGGCAAGAATTCTGGTCAGCAAAATACCATGTGAGCAAGCAGCTATCTCCTGTTATATTAAATGTAATCATATATATGTTTTCCCTGCATAAACATCACCGACTCTAGTGTCTAAGGCCATCTTTGGAGACATGGTTCACTGCGTTGGATGGTTAACTTATTGAACCGTGACAATCATGCTTGTAGACTGTAGCAGCTATGCTTTTCATTAGCATGTTTAACTGCCTCTTGTTCAAGAATTGATCTAGCTCTCATTACTTTGCTAATGTGTGAACCCAGTTATGGTTGAGAATTTGACTTCAAAAGTGAAAGGGTGGGAATTGGAGCGAGACATGTCTTTCCAGTACAATAAGGTAAATACACCAATCTCTTGTTGTTTCCATCAACGTGAACTTCCCTAATATGTATTTACAAACTCTCAGGCTCCCCTATTAAGCATGTTGGAGGAATATACTGCAATGAGGCACGAAAGGGAAGACGAGAGGCGACGTACAAAGGTATGCTCACTTGAACTTCCTTTCAGTTGCAGCTTAATCAAGGTAGTTATGCAACAAGAACATCCATGGAGAAGCTTATGATCTTAAGACTGAATCAACATAGTGCTCAACTCAGTTTAACTATAAACAAATTCAACTACATCTCACTTGGATTTATTCTATTCGATCTTGGATCAGTTAAAAGACACACTCTAATTAAAAAAATTGGAACTTTCGGTTTGTGGAAGCATATCATTATCTGAACTCTGAAGTCAGCTGCCACAATGTCCCCTTTTGTGCACATTTTGCAGGAGCACAGGCGTCTACAAGAGCAAATGGCAGCTGAACAAGAGGCAATTTATGGGTCGCGGCCCAAGAAACCACTGGGCCAAAGCACCACCAACAACACCATGATTGGGACACCCATCGGACGGCGTGGCGCCACCCCATTGGGCCATCACCACGCACCTTCAACCGGAAAGGAACGCAGAGAGAGCCGGTACCATAACGTGGCGCCTATCAACTATGTGGCTCTTTCAAAGGACGACCACTCCGTCTCTCGTGGTGCATAGCCAAATCCGGGCTAGGGTAAAAACCTGTAAATGTCCGATCATGGTTGAAATCTCGAGACTTTTCATATACAACAATGACATATTCCATTGAATGAGAGAAATACTAAGATGATTGACTTTTTGAAAAGTTCTTGTGTAGCATCCTTTTCGTTTCCTTATAGCAAGAATGTGATTTAGAGAAATAGTTGGGTGAATGCAGATCAAAAGATGCACCACGAGTTTAGATGGTGAAGATTAAAATGTGTCATATGTCAGACCCATGAACTCAATTAACCATTTGTCTTTTAGCCCACTATTTAATATTTATCATTGTTTGATGCTGGCGTAAAAGCATATATTAATTGTATAATACCAGATGTGCAATTGAAACCCTAACTTAGTTTTCTCATTGATAGAAATGTTGCTTATATACAGAGATTGATCGAAAGAAGACAAGCAGCACTTGGCTGGGTTTACAGTCTGTGAAATCAGAAAATGCAGAGTTTGGAGGGAACAGAAAACAGAAAGCTGAAAGAGACGTTGGACGCTACGACGACGTTTCGCTGTGAGTCTTCTCCACTGTCCGAGACGGCGCCGTTGCAACTAATGAAGCTGAGGCCTTTCCCGAGACGACGTCGCTCCACCGAGCTGGCTTAGTAGCCGTTGGAATTTGGGGCGAAAATTTGATATTTTCGTCTGATACCCCCCCGCAAGCTGGTGGGCACAGATTGTGCACACCAAGCTTGGAGAGGAGACTGGAGAAGATTGCTGGTGGAAGCGGCTTCGTGAACAGGTCGGCGAGTTGGTGAAGAGTGGAAACATGAAGAAGCTTGACAATCCCGGCCTGCAATTTTTCTCTGACCAGGTGGCAGTCCAATTCGATGTGCTTTGTTCTTTCATGGAATGTTGGGTTTTCAGCGATGTGAATCGCGGATTGATTGTCACAATAGATGATTGCAGGTTGAGAATGGAGTACCTGGAAGTCCTGTAGAAGGTATAGAAGCCATTGAAGCTCGCAGGTGGTGTCTGCCATGGCCCTATATTCTGCTTCACAAGAGGATCTCGAGATGGTCCTTTGTTTCTTACTTTTCCAGGATATGAGAGCATTGCCCAGGTAAACACAATAGCCAGTTACTGATCTTCTTGTGTCCATACATGATGCCCAGTCTGAGTCACTGAATGACTTCAGTTGGAGTGAAGATGTTGATGGAAAGAACAAACCAGTAGATGGTGCTGATTTGAGGTATCTGAGAACTCTTGTCACTGCTCGGTAATGTTGATTGCTTGGGTTGGACATGTACTGGCTGAGCTGTTGTGTAGCAAAACTGATGTCTGGTCTGGTTGTGGTGAGGTAGATAAGTTTCCCAACAAGTCTTCTGTAGAAAGAAGGGTCAGGGAAAGCATCAGAATGAGTGGCTGTGAGGTGAATTTTGTGATCCATTGGGGTAGAAACAGGTCTGGATAGGAGCACCTCTCCTTCTAGGATTTCTAGTGTGTATTTCCTTTGAGATAGGTGAATGCCAGATGAGTTTCTGGCAACTTCAATGCCAAGAAAGAACTTGAGGGGACCTAAGTCCTTGATACTGAATGTCTGATGGAGATGCTGTTTGAGTTTGGTAATTTCATCCAGATCAGTGCCTCCCACAACCAGATCATCTACATAGACTAGGACACATGTGTAGTGGGAGCCTTGAGATTTGAAGAACAAGGAATGATCAACTTGACTGGATGTATAACCCTGATTGATGAGACAGTCAGCCAGTTTTGAGAACCACTGCCTAGAAGCCTGCTTCAGACCATATAGGGATTTCTTGAGTCTGCAAACAGGGTTCTTGATGTGGGGTGGTGGTTTGTATCCTTTTGGCAATTTCATATAGACTTCTTCAGTGAGATCCCCATGTAAGAAAGCATTGTTTACATCCAATTGATGTACATGCCATGACCTGGAAGCAGCAATAGCCAAAAATAATCTTACTGTTGTCATTTTGACTACAGGAGCAAAAGTATCCTGGTAGTCAATGCCCTCTTGTTGATTATATCCTTGGGCAACTAACCTTGCCTTTTCTCTTTCCAGGCTGCCATCAGAGAGGAATTTGTACTTGAAGATCCACTTGTTGCCAAGTGGTTTTCTGTCTGGAGGTAAGGAAACAACATCCCAGGTCTGATTCAATTCAAGGGCATCAATTTCATGATTGATTGCTTGGTTCCATTCTGGTCTAAGAGCAGCTTCCTCATAGGATTCTGGTTCTTTATGGCTAGAGATGCTCAATATGAATTTGAGATAAGATGGGGATAAACCAGTGTAATCAATGACATCAGATAAGGGGTAGGTGATACCTGGAGCATGTTGCTGTAGAGAGTGACTCGAGGAAGAAGCCTGCTGAAGTAGGTTGCAATGGTAAGTTTGGAGTTTGGTGGGTGGTCTGATTGTTCTGGTTGGTTTCCTAATGGCTATAGGTAAATCAATGGAAGGAGGATTGGGAGGAGTAGGTGGTGGGGAAGATGGAGATGGATCTTGTTGATGAGGAGGAGGGGGATGTGGATGTTCATCTGCAATAGTGGGTGGTGGAATAGGATAGGTATGAGGAGGAATTGTGGGAACTGTGGTAGGAGAATCAAGGGTGGGTTGGTGGAATGGGAATTCATGTTCATAGAACTGAACATCTCTAGATAGGAATAGGTCATGAGAATGTAAATCATAGATTTTGTATCCCTTTACACCAGGGGTGTAGCCTAGAAAGACCCCTTTTCTGGCTCTCTCTTGGAATTTGGTTCTGTGGCTTGTGATGGTTGAGGCATAGCATAGGCAGCCAAAGACTTTCAAGTCTTGAAGGTCAGGTGGTTTGTTATATAGCTTTTGGTAAGGGGTGAGATTGTTTAGGACTGGGGTTGGGACTCGGTTGATTAGATACACAGCATGCTTGACACAGTCTCCCCAGAAACCAATAGGGAGATTAGCTTGGAATTTTAAAGCTCTTGCCACTGCTAAAATGTGTTGATGTTTTCTCTCGACCTTGCTGTTTTGTTGTGGGGTTTCAATGCATGACATCTCATGGAGAATGCCATGCTCACCAAAGAAATCAGTCATCTGGAATTCCTTGCCCTGATCACTCCTAATGGTTTTAACATGTAAGTTGAATTGTTTGTTTATCATGTTGCAGAATTGGATAAGTTTGGGACGTGTATCAGCTTTGGAAGAGAGAAGGATGAGCCAAGTCATCCTGGAGAAGTCATCAACAATGGTAAGGAAGTATTTAAAACCATCATAAGTAGGAATGGAATGGGGACCCCAGATATCAACATGTATTAATTGAAAACATTGTGCTGTGACAGAAGAGCTGGAAGGAAAAGGCAAACGTTTTTGCTTAGCAAAATGGCATACATCACAAGGTAAGCTGCTGTTGGTTTCAATGGATGTACAGAGTTGTTTGAGTTGGGGAATTCTACTATGGGAAACATGGCCAAGTCTGAAGTGCCATATATCAAAATGTGGAGAACTAACAGCTGCTGTGATGTGGTTAGGTATACTAGCTAAGGGTAGGTTGATGTGGTAAAGGCCATGGAGGAGCTTAGCAGAACCAGTCACTCTCTTCAGCTCCATGTCCTGTATGGTGCAAGAATCAGAAGAAAAGGTTAAGCAAAGAGGGCTAGTTGTGGTCAGTTTGCTCACAGAGAGAAGATTGAAAGTGAATTTAGGGACAAACAGGACATCTTGAAGTGTGATGCCATTATGACAAAGGACAGTGCCTTTGTATGTTGCTTGAACTCTATCACCAGTTGGGAGGTTAATGTAGATCTGATCCACCTTGTGTGGATCATGAAGGAATGAAAGAGAACTGACTATGTGGTCAGTTGCACCAGTATCAAGGATCCATGGTATAGGAGAAGCACTATTGTGAAGGCTGTAACAAGAGTGGTTACCTGATGAACCAGAACCATGATTAATGGTAAGGGCTGCAGAGTGAGCAGTAGAGATGGACTTGTCCTTGGAATGATCATGCATCAGAGAGATGAGCTTCTCATACTCAGATTTGGTGAGTTTGAACTCCTGTGGATTGTCTGATGAAGAACTGCTGTCAGTAGCATTGATGAAGGATCTGCCTCGAGTGGTGGGATTAGATCTGGGCTGAGAACTTGGAGGGTAGCCATGCTTCTTGAAGCACTTGTCTTCAGTGTGGCCAAGTCTCCTGCAGAATGTGCATTCTGGTGGTTTGGAAGAGGGGTTTGAGGTGGCAGTGGAACCTCTAGGTGTGAGACCAGGAGGCCAGCCATGTTTGTGATAACATGTGTCCTCAGTGTGGCCAGGAGCATTGCAAAAAACACAGTGAGGACGTTTGCCAGATGTGAAAGGACGTTTGGTTCCTTGGATGGCAAAGGCAGTAGGATCTGAGGGTATCATTCTGCCTTGCTGAGTACCAAATAGTTGTCTTTCATGCTGTAGGGCTCTTTGAAAGACACGATCTATAGGTGGGAGGGAATCTCCAAACAGAACTTGGGATCTGACTATTGCAAAGTTGTCATTCAGACCTCTAAGAAATTGTATAACAGAGTTGATGTCTTTATAGCCTAGTACAGCATTCATAGCAGAACAAGTATGAGGGCTAGTAGGAGTGCAGCGACATGGATCTATGGGCTGATAGTTGTCTAACTCATCTTGTAGGGCTATCAGGTTGCCATAGTATTCTGTAACAGTCTGGTTACCTTGCTTAATGGTACCAATAGATTCAATTAGCTCTGCAACTCTAATCATATCACCTTGACCATACCTAGATTTGAGGCTGAGCCAGGCTTCAGAGGCGAGTTTGCAGGACATGATGGTCTTCTTGATGCCAGGTTCCACTGCTTGTTGAATCCCGCTGAGAACCATGACATTGTTTCTTGTCCAAGAAGAGAACTGAGGATCTGTGTCTGCAGGGGCAACAATGGTGCCATTGACGAAACCAAGCTTGTTCTTGGCTGCTAAGGCGTTGAGCATCGCCTTGCTCCAGTCATTGTAGTTGGTGGTGGTCAGCTTCTCACCTACCAACAACAATCCTGGTTGATCAGAACCATGAAGATAGAAAGGATCCTCGAGAGGATCCATGTTTTGTGGGTGAGTGGCCATTTGGGGAGGCGGCGGCTAGGGTTGCTCTGATACCATAATACCAGATGTGCAATTGAAACCCTAACTTAGTTTTCTCATTGATGAAAATGTTGCTTATATACAGACATTGATCGAAAGAGGACAAGCAGCACTTGGCTGGGTTTACAGTCTGTGAAATCAGAAAATGCAGAGTTTGGAGGGAACAGAAAACAGAAAGCTGAAAGAGA